CGATGAAATTAACACGAAATTAACACTGAATACAATCCAAATCTTTATTTTTGACACTTTTGTGACAACTTTCTCTTTCACTCTAATTTTTGTTTTCTCTCTCATTTTTTCTCTCTATTGTTTTGTCTAATAAGATTATGGGAAAAAGTGTCTCAAAAGTTGTCCAAATAACATATCTCTAAGAAAAATTAGAATATAAAGGATAAAAGGATTCACAAAATCAATATCTCAACAATCCAAGGGCATTTTATTTTTCCTGGAGATACTATATTTATTTGTTCTTTGACATTCATTACAATTCATTACATATAATGCACTATCTCAACTCACATTTAACATATAAAATAAATTATGTTGGAACAAAGGATTCAAGAAAGATGAATATTGTGAAAAACAAGAAGAAGAAGAAGAAGAAGAAGAAGAAGAAGAAGAAGAAGAAGAAGAGAGAGAGAAAAAGAGAGAGAGATTGCTGAGTTAGTTAGTGTAACTAACTCTTAAAATTGAAACTGTTATTATTGTTACTTCAGTTTTTATGGATTACAAAGTAATGGCCCTTTATATAGGCAACATGCCCAGACCCAAATACAAGCTAAAGCCCAAATAATAACTAACAAGAATTAACCAACTAACACACCTCCTTAATTCATGTTATCAAGACTTCTCATCCCAATGTATTTCTTTAACTCTTCGAATCTCATTTTCTTCAGAGATTTGGTGAATATGTCAGCTAGTTGCACTTCTGTCTTGCAATGTTCTATTTCAAGCTTCCCTTTGTTTACTTGGTCTCTCAGAAAATGATACCTTCATGCAATGTGCTTACTTCGACTATGACACATTGGGTGATTCGCAAGATTTATTCCCGACTTGTTATCAATAAACAGATTCATCTTCGATTCCATTATTCTGAGCTCTTCAAGTAGCATTTCAATCCATGATGTTTGGCATGCAGCATATGATGCAACCACATATTCTGCTTCGCATAAAGACAAAGCCACAATACTTTTCTTCCTCGAATTCTAGGAGATTGGAGATCCTTCGATCATGAAAATGTACTCTGCAGTACTCCTTTTTTCATCTTGATCCCCACTGAAATCTGAGTCAGTGTATCCATGAACTTTGACCTCTGTATTGTTCTTCGATCCTTTTGGCAACAACACATCATGATCAACAGTTCTCTTGATGTATCTCAACACCCTCTTTACCGCAATGAGATGACATTCCTGAGGCTTCTCCATAAATCTGCTCAATAATCCTACACTTTGGCAGATATCTGGTCTAGTATTGCAAAGATACCTCAATGATCCAATGATTTGTTTATAAAGGGTCGAACTTACAAACTCCTCATTTGACTCCTTCTTCAGCTTTTCTCCAGTCTCTAATGGAGTAACAGCTGCCTTACAGTTGCTCATATTGAACCTCTTCAATATATCTTGAGCATACTTCGTTTGATGCAAGAAAACTCCTTCTTCGATGTCTTTGAATTACATTCCCAGGAAGTAGGAAAGATTCCCTAAATCAGACATTTCAAATTCCTGCATTAACTTTGACTTTACCTTCATTATCTCAGCTTCATCTGCTCCTGTAATGAGTAAGTCATCAACATAGAGGCATAAAATGATTCGATTGTAACTTTCGACATAATTTACATACACTCCATGTTCAGAGACACAATTTGTGAACCCTGCTTTGATTAGAAAGCTATCTATCCTTTTATTCCAAGATCTAGGAGCTTGCTTCAAGCCATAGAGAGCCTTCCTCAATCTATAAACCTTCAACTTCTTCCCTTTGATGTCGAAGCCTGGTGGTTGAGTGACATAGACTTCTTCTTCCAGAGGCCCATTCAAAAATGCTGACTTCACATCAAGTTGGTGCATTTTCCATCCTCTATATGCAGCTATCGAAACAACAATCCTGATTGTTTTGATCCTAGCAACAGGCGCATACACTTCATCAAAGTCAATACCTGGTTGTTATAGAAAACCTCTAGCCACCAGTCTAGCCTTGTACTTTTCAATCTCACCATTTGGCCTTCGTTTCACCTTGTAGATCCATTTCACATCAATTGGTTTCTTGTTGGCTCTTTCGAAAAGTTCCCAAGTGTTTTTCTTCTCAATGGCTCTAAGTTCTTCTTTCATGGCTTCACACCAATTCGAATTGCTCAAGGCTTCACCCAAGTCAATTGGTTTTGCTTCAGCCATCATCATGGCTTCTTCGATTAAGTCACCATCATCATCTATTGCTTGATCTGGAAACCTCTTATATCCAGTCAGCCTAGTTGACTCAGTTCTCGTTCTTGTGGATCTTCTTTCGTTCTGCACAGGTGGTTCTTCATTTTGACCAGTCAAAGTATCACCTTGTTCATTTTGACTTGTCGAAGCTTTATCTTCTTCGAACACAATTGTGACTGTGTCTGATTCTTGTCGAACTGCACTTCGACTCTAATCCCATCCTTTGCTTTCGCCTACAAGAACATCTCTACTGATCACTAGTTTATATTTGATTGGTGAATATAACTTGTATGCACCAGTCGAATGATAACCTATGAGCACCATGACTTCACTTTGATCATCCAGCTTCTTTCTCAATTGCTCAGGTACATGCCTGACACACATTGATCCAAAAATTCTAAGATGACTTACATTTGGCTTCGACCCTGTCCAAGCCTCATGTGGTGTCTTTTCGACCATCTTCTTCGTTGGGCATCTGTTTAGAATGTATACTATTGTCGAAGCTGCTTCAACCGAAAATCTCTTAGGCATATTCTTAGCTTTCAACATACATCTGGTCATGGTCAATACACTTCTATTCTTTCTCTCAGCGATGCCATTATACTGAGGCGTATAGGGTGCAACAACCTTATGCTCTTTACCTTCCTCATTGCAAAATCTGGCAAATTCTGCTGAAGTATATTCACCACCACCATCAGTTCTTAACTTTTTCAATTTGCAGTCACTTTGTTTCTCAGCATGCAACTTGAACTTCTTGAACTATGTGAATACCTCACTCTTCCTTTCAATGAGGTAAATCCACACATGTCTGGTGAATTCATCAATGAAAGTAAGGAAATACCTGTTATCTCCATTGGACTTTACTTTGAAAGGTCCACACACATCTGAATGAACCAGCTCCAGTTTTTGCCTTGACCTTATAGGCAAATCACGTTTGAATGCCTTCCTTTCTTGCTTAGCTTTGTAGCATTCTTCACATATCTGCTTTGGTTCCTTCACATACGGCAACCGAAGCACCATTTTCTTCTGATTGAGCATACATAAACTTTTGAAGTTTAGATGTCCATACCTGTGATGCCATAGCCAGTTCTTGTCTTCTTCTGCAGTTGAAGCAAGACATTTGCCAGCTGATGTGTTGAGTTCGACTTTGAAGGTTTCGTTCTCTGCCAATGGTGCTTTCATGATTAGCCTCTCATCAGCCCTATATACCTTCATCTGATTATTCTCCAACTTTATATTGAAGCCTTTTGCAAGTAATTAACCTACACTTATCAAGTTACTTGTCATCGAAGGTACATACAGAAATTCAATGATAGTAGCCTTTCGACCATCCTTCCTGATAATCAAAATGTCTCCTTTACCACCTGATTTGATATGTCTGCCATCTGCAAACTTTATCACCTTTTTGACTGACTCATCTAACTTGGTAAACCAGTTTTTATTGTCATTCATGTGGTTGCTACATCCTGAATCCAAATACCACATGTTGTTTTTCTCAGTGTTCGATTGAGTGTTCACCAACAACAACACATCATCAGAATCATTACTTCCAGCTCGTGCATATTGAGCTTCATCACTATCTTTCAACCTTGTAGCTTTCTTGCTTCGACAATCTCTAGCATAGTGGCCAAAACCTTGACAATTGTAACATTGCACCCCTTTCGTGTCAACTTTCTTCTCAGAATACTTGTTTCCTACTCCTTTCGAATCAACATTCTTGCTTGACTTCTCATCACCAGCAAGATTCTTACGCTGCTTCGATTTCTCTTTTCCAGCTTTCTTGCTGAATCTTGATTGTAATGCTTGTTCAGTTGTCTTCTCCCTTTCTGAGTTTCTTTGTTGCAACCTCATTTCATGAGCCTCCAAAGAAGCTTGAAGTTCTTCCAACTTCATCTCAGATATATTCTTGGCCTCTTCGATTGTTACAACAAAGTAATCAAAATCTGCAATTAGAGATCTTAATACCTTTTCTATCTTCTGCAGATCCATTAGTGCTTCACCACACGCCTTCATCTGGTTTGTTAGCATCACCACTCTTGAGAAATATGCTGAGACATATTCATTCTCTTTCATCTGTAGTATCTCATACTGCTTTCTCGGAGTCTGCAACTTCACCTTCTTCAGTTTCTCATCTCCACCATACAACGACTTCAGCTTTTCTCAAGTTTCTTTTGCTGTTTCTTCTTCGACTATCTTCTCAAACACATTACAATCCACACACTGGTGAATCAAGAACAGCGTCTTGCCATCTTTCTTCCTCTGATCTTTGTGCACAACTTTCTGGACTTCCGTAGCATCTTCCTCCAGTTGTGACATTCCATTATTCACGATTTCTACAACATCTTGAAATCTGAAAATAACCTTCATTTGTGCCACCCATCTTTGATAGTTTTCACCTTTGAAAACCGGAAGATTTGTTGAAAATTGTGTTGAGGTTGTTGATCCGTTTGCCATTAGATTCTCTCTGAATCGCAAACAAACTCTTTATATCAATTTGTTGGAACAAAGGATTCAAAAAAGATGAATATTGTGAAAAACAAGAAGAAGAAGAGAGAAGAAGAAAAATAGGTTGTTGAGTTAGTTAGTGTAACTAACTCTTAAAACTGAAATTGTTATTATTGTTACTGCAGTTTTTATGGATTACAAAATAATGACCCTTTATATAGGCTACATACTCAGACCCAAATACAAATTAAAACCCAAATAACAAGTAACAAATTACATAGAAATAATACACTAATGAGAAATAGAAAACACCCACATAACATGCAACTAGTGACAAATTAATTCCACCAAAGTCTTGAAATCCTGCACTGCTTTACCATTTGGTCCAGCTACATCTAGCACTGTCTTTTTCACCTTTTGAGCATTCTCTCTCATTTTCTTTCCCTCTTCCTTCACAAGAATCAGATTCAAACTCTTCAACAATCCATTTTTAGTAAACACTCCACCTTCCATCTTCACACCAATCTCCCAAATATCTTCCACCATTCTTGCAGTCATCACATGATCTCCAAAGAATGGCCTACATATCAAAGGCACCCCATTGCAAATACTTTCATAAACTGAATTACATCCAGAGTGTGTCACAAACACTCCAACAGAATCATGTCCCAAAACTTGAGTTTGAGGCACCCACGGAACAATTTTTCCAATATTACTAGTCCTCTCAACAAACCCTTGTGGCAAAACTCCCTTCAAATTATCCTTAAGTGACCAAAGAAATGGAAATCCACTTTCTTCTAATGCTTCTGCCAATGCCACAAGCTCGTGTGGAGGTGGTGTCACTGTAGTTCCAAAGCTAACATAAATTACTGATTCACCCTTTTGTTTGTCCAACCATGATAAACAACCAGTTTCATCACTTTCAGATGGTGGCAAAGGTGGTAGAGGAATTGAAAGAGTGAGAAAACCAACATAAAGCATATTCTGTAACTTTGATCTCATATCTTCAACAAACAAAGGTAGATCTAACTCCTCAAAGAAATTCATAACCACTGCTTTAGCTTTAGGCAACACTTCACCATATGAAGCAAGTGTTTTTGAGAATAGTGTCTCGTCTTCACCACAGTTGATTATATCATCAGGCAAATCTCCAACTCTCATCTTAGACAAACCTGGAAGAAAATCCAAAGATCTATCTTTAGCATTGTTTTCAGCACACTTTCGACGTATAAGATGAGTGTAGAAATGTGCTGAGAGAGAGCATGATAAAGGAGGCCAAACAGGAATCCATGGAACATTGAGTTTCTGAGCTACAAAAAGAGAAGGAACAACAAAAGCATCAGCAAGGATACATGTAACCTTCTCTTTTCTATCAGCAACTGCTAGATCTATTCCATTTTGGAGATTTTGATGACCTGCTTGAAGAAAAAGGTCGACTTTTTCAACTGGGTGGGAACCAAGTACATGGCCCTCTGGAACACCATCATGAATACTATAAAATTTGACGCTATTTGGGATGTTTGGTTTTGTAAAAAAAGGTTGATTAGATTGTTGGGTGCCAATGAATGAGAAAAGTATGTCTGGTGAAGCATGTGCTAGTTTGAGGACAAGGTTTAAGAGTACAACAGGATGGCTACCAAAGGGAAAAACATAAACTGCAACATGTTTTTTCTCGGATGAGATTGTCATGATGATGTTGGTTGGGAAACTGAGAGTGGAGAATGGACTTGTTTTTGTTGCTCTGGTAATTGCCTCAACCCCGGAGGGCACATATATATATATAGTATAAAGTAGGTTTTGCCAAAGGTTACACAAGAAAATCAACGAGTAAATGTGTGCAACCCACACTAGATTCATACTGCATTTAAGTGTGGTTATTGTTAGTTGTCACGTGGAGTCCTAGCCCTCCACTCATTAGCTATAGATTATCTAACTACCTTGTTTTGTCATTATGATTTGATTTTTTTCTACTATCTTTCAAAATATTTTTCCACCAAAACTTAAAACAAAAATAAAATGAATCTTTAAATTTCTATTTTTGTTTTAAAACTAAGACATTAATAACCGATCACTACTTCAATCACTATTTTGACCATCATTTCTATAGAGAGACAAATTCATGGGAGCATTTTAACACAGTTATTTTATTGTTTATTTTATCACTTTTATTTACTTTCGATTATTGATTCTCTCTCATAAATTGTACATCTTGAATCAAGTTTAAAATCGATTTGTAAATCTTTTTAGCATTACATAAATCATTAATTATATTTGAATTTGATCATAATTTTTTTTTGTCTTTTGCATGAGTTGCTAGATTAAAAACATTACATGTTTTTGATTAGAAGTGAGATGTAAAATCTCAAAGTACTTTTGAATACATAAAAATTTGAGATTTTATATGTTTGATTCGAATCAAGAGAATCAAACACATTTTATGATTCAAATCAAATTGGACAGAAACATACTAAGAATTTTTCAACTATTTGATTCAAATCATTTTTTATACATGATTCGAGTCACACTCTTATAGTCATCTTCTGCTCACTTTGATTTGAATCACATATGTTTTCTACATTTTCCAGTTGGCTCTATTTGATTAGATTCAAATCAATTTTTGAACATGATCCGAATAATACTTTGTGCTTGATTTGAATCAACTGAAAAATGAGTCAAAATCTGATTTTCATTTATTACACTTCATCTTATCACTTGACTCAAAACTGAACTTTCTTTGAGTCGAATCTAACCACTTTTTTCGGTCTTTCTTGTGCTTAATATCGAGCAAATATAAAATCTTTTGTCAACACTTATTCAGGTGTAAATTTCCTAATCGTTTGTGTGAATCTCATGAACTTTTATGATTCTGTAAAAAATAAATTGTCTCTTTTGAAACCCTTGCATTAGAAATTCTTTCATCTTTAACCTTAGTTTCAATTTCATATCTTGATAATGAGAGATTTGTAATTGATTGAGGGAGACATTATCTTGAAACTAATCGTTCTTGAAGATTGGGTAAAAGATTTTCAGGTTCTTGCAAGATTGGGTAGATGTAATTGGTGTAGACAAATTTCAGTGAAAAGAAGAAAGTCTTCTCTTCAGAATTTCCTTAGTGGTGACTATGTGGAAGACTACATATAAGGCAGAGCTCTTTTTACATTTTCAGACAATTCACCGCTCAAGAAATCAGTAAGATCAAGAGGTTGATTGCTACACATGAAAAATTAGTGCAGATTGGTGATATTGGAAGATTCAAAGCATTGATCAAGTAAAGATTGCGCAACAGTGTTTGGCATTGAGCCATATACAAGTCAAGATCCAAATTGAAGATTTTATTTGTTATTTTTCTTCAGAGTTATTGTGGGTTGGTGATTGTATATACTCTTAAGATATTTATCAAAATAAAAGGGAACTATGGGAAGAATTGGACGTAGACTCACGCGAGGACGACAAAGTCGAACAACTATAAATCCAGGTGTCATCACTATATCATATAATCTTGAGTTTAAATTTAGTAGAACATGCATGTTTAGGTTTAAATTCGGTCATAGCAATTTATTTGATAGACTTATGTTTTGTTGGAATTGGAGACTTAATAAGAGCTTTGTGAGGGAACTGAAGACGTTGATGATTAAAAAATCAATATGTTTACACAGGAATTTGAATTGTTTCGTATGGAACCTGGAGAATCCGTAGATTCCATACAAACTAGATTCCCCCACTTAATCAACAAAGTAAGCAACTTGAATAAAACCTATTCCAACAAAGATTGTGCTAACACAAATTAAGATTTATGTGTAGGGAGTGGCAACCAAAGGTTACCACTATAAGAGAATTAAACGAGCTTAGTACTTTGGATACTACAAAGCTAATTGGAAAGTTAGCTGAGCATGAAAATGAACTCAAAGGAAGAAAGTGTCATCATCTAAATCTAGTAAATCAAAGGAAGAAATTGACAATTCTGACGAAGAAACTCCTAAAAATAAGGAGATGGGTTTATTCTTAAAACGCTACAACAAATACTTGAAAAGGAAGAAGCTCAAGCTTAGGCATTCTGACAAAAGTTTGATAAACTTCATAAATACTCACCCGCCTAAAAAAGAACACAAGAAAATGGATGATGATATTACTTGTTACGAGTGCGGTAAATCGTGACATTATAGAACAACTTGCCTGAGTTTCACCAAACATCATAAAATAAGATAATGAATTCTACAAGATGAAGGGAAGAAGTTCCAAAGGCCGTAGAGTCTGTATTACATGGGGAGAAGGGAATGAGAGCTCCTCCTTTGATTCTTGTTCAAGTTTAGATGATGAGTGTGCCAACTTATGTTTGATGGCACGTAAGAAAGGTGAAATGTCAAAGGTATATAATTTGACTCCAATAATGAATATTCTTATAGTAAGTTATCGAAAGATTTTAATGATATGTATGTTAATTTTATAAATGCGTTTAAGAACAAAAAGAAATTATTTCAACTCTTGAATATAAGATCAAAAACCTTAATTGTGATTTAGAATATCTTAAAGACGTGCATTCATCTCTAGTTGATGAGCAATTTAATGTTTATGACACATTAGTTGAAGGGATAGAAAAAGGAGAGTTTGTTGCTTGTCCATCTTTAAAAACTGAAATTGAAAATCTCAAGGGACAATTAACTCATGGTACTTTACTATCTTGTTCATGTTCTAGTTTAAGAAAAACTCTCATGTCGCTAGGAGAAATAGAAATAACATTTTATCTAAAGTCATTTGTCATTATTATGGTGAAAAGGGACACATTAGACCTCTTAGTCATGTTATGAACTTTCAAGTTCCAAATGGTAAGATGACATGGATTCCTAAGTGTAACTTAACTAACCCAAAAGACCCACTACATGGGGACCTAAAATTGCCTAATTGATTATCTGTAGGAAAGTCTTGTTTCCGCAAAAAGGTTATGGTTTCTAGATAGCGGATATTCATGATATATGATGGGAGATACTTCCATGTTACTAACAAGAAAGGACCCAAAAGAATGTGGGTATCTAAGGATAAGATGATATATGTTGCATATATCCTTTGCAACCAAGTTGAAACACCAGTCATGGTACCTGGACTCTGGGTGCTCGCGACACATGACGAAAAGAAGGCATGTGTTCCAAAGCCTAGAAATTAAGCCTGGTGGTTTCGTGGGTTTCGGAGGTGATCAAAAAGGGATGATCATAGGATCGGAAATAGTTGGTAATGATAATCTTCCCTTTATTACTAATGTCTTACTTGTTGATGGATTAATGCATAATCTATTGTCCATAAGTCAATTAAGTAACAATGGTTATGATATTCTTTAATCAAAATTCCTATAAAGTTGTTCGTCAGAAGCATGGCTTCATTCTATTCAATGGCAAGAGGAAGAAAAACATCTATAAGATTAAACTTTCTGATCTTAAAGAACAAAATGTTAAATGCCTCATGTCTGTTAATGAAGAGCAGTGGGTATGGCATAAACGATTAGGCCATGTTAGCATGAGCAAGATTTCTCAGCTAAATAAGCTTAATTTAGTCAGAGGTCTTTTTAAGATGAATTTCTCTTCAAATGCTCTTTGTGAAGTATGTTAGAAATGCAAGTTTTCTAAAACTTCTTTCAAACCAAAGAATGTTGTGCCTACGTATAAGCCTTTGGAACTCTTACACATTGACCTCTTTGAACCAGTAAAAACTGCTTCTGTCAATGGTAAAAAATATGGATTAGTCATTATTGATGACTACATCCGATGGACATGAGTTAAGTTTCTAAGACACAAGGGTGAGTCACATTCTGTGTTCTCTACCATCTGCTCAGAAGTGAAAAATGAGATAGATTTTAAAATTGTTAAAGTCAGAAGTGATCATGGTGGTGAGTTTGAAAATAATATTTTTTGAAAATCTTTTTTCTGAAAATGACATTTCCCATGATTTCTCCTGCCCTAGAACTCCACAGAAAAATGGAGTTGTAGAGAGGAAGAGTATGAATTTACAAGAAATGGACAGAACCATGATCAATGAGACTAACATGGCAAAGCACTTATAGGACGAGGAAGTTAACACAACATGTTATGTTCAGAACATGACTTTTATTAGACCAATTCTGAATAAGACTCCATATGAACTCTGTAAGAACATAAAACTCAACATTTCATATTTTCATCCTTTTGGATGTGATTGTTTTATTCTGAACACTAAGGAAAGTCTTAACAAGTTTGATTCTAAAGCACATAAGTGTCTAATGTTAGGATACTCTGAACACTCAAAAGGCTATAGAGTGTATAAAACAGAAACACGAATTATTGAAGAATCAATTCATGTTAAATTTGATGATAAGCTTGACCCTGAAAAAATTAAAGCTAGTTGAAAAGTTTACAGATTTGGAAATCACCTATTCAAGGTCTGAAGGTGAAGAAGTTGTTGCAAAAGAACCTGAGAAGAAGGATTCTGATGATGCTCGACCAGAAGCTGTTGAAGTTCAGACACCTGTGAGGAAGCACAAACAAAGATCTTCACACTTTTAAGAATTTATTATGGGTGACAAGACTGAACCAGTCATAACCAGATCCTCGTTCACACCTTCTGAAGAATCGCTTATGCGTTTGGTGTCTCTCATAGAACCTACACCCGTTGATGTAGCGCTTCTAGACACATAGTAGATTCTGGAAATAGAAGAAGAACTTATC